TTCCAGACAACGCTCGACCTTGATCAAATCCGACTAATAATTGGCCATCAACTCGTTGATAGCCGCCACAAACTGCAGAGGATATGTGTTAAACATTTAGCCAGAATTTGAAGTAAAAAGGGAAAGAGATAACAGTGGAAAGAAACCTTAGTGCCGCGCTGCGCCATTGCGCCATAAGATTTTGATCTCCTCAGTTGCTCGGGAGGTGGGAGCCGCGTGTTGGCATTGTTAACACACGAAAACATAACTGCAGAAGCAGCCGGGTCGTCAACGACCAGCTTGCGCGACGTAGGCTCGCCGGACGCTGGCTTGCGTTTCTTCTTGGATGGCTCGTCTTTCTAAACGGCCACCCCTTTCCCCTTTTCAGTAGCTGATCGTTTTCGAACAACGTCATGCTTCAGCAGATTTTAAGCTGGGGGCCTTGGCGACTTTGGGAGGGCCAGAATAGCCGAGTTAGATGGAGTCTTGCTACGAGCTGCGGAGTCCTCAGTGACATTTGCTTCCGCGGCTCGGGTTGCGTCATCCCCCTCAAGGCTCGGCGGATCTTCTCGAGTAACCGCCTCGGTCTCTACTTGAGCCGCTTGGGCGGTGTGTCTGGAAGCTTCTTCGGCTTCGCGCCTCTTCCTTTCCCTATGCATAATGACCACCATCTTTTCTCTCGTGTCTCCTGAAGAAGTCGACGACAAATAACAAATAGACACCCCAGAAAAAATGGCTCGAGCTCTCTCCACTCTCTCAAACGTGAAGTGTTTCCTTCAATTAACTCTCCGAGCAGCGAGAGTATCTCGAACAGTGAAAAGGTTGTCTGTAACAGAAGGGAGGATGCTTTGAACTGCAAAAACAACACAAAACGACCAGGTTAATATAAAGAAATCGCACTATAACAGCTCCGTGCCGAGGCAAGGCTTCAGATCGGCTACCAATTGGTCTCCAGGCAGTCTTGGTCTTACGGACGAAGTCCTCGCCCACCGACGCCTCGTTCACCAGAACGTAGAAGAAGCGCTCGGTCCAAAACTGATCTTTGCTCAGAAAACCACCTATAATCAGGCGGTTAGACTTATTAGAGATATAAAATCTGCCTCCTCCTAGAGCCCTTCTGATCTCCAACAAGTTGAGCAGATAACCCAGTTCGATGACTTAAAGCTCCGAACCAAAATGCCAATCATATGCCATAAGCCCCTCGGCATGATCTGTCCAATCGAGATTCCATGCTTTCAAAGGTACTCAAGAATAACTCTAGGGATCGGGAACCAAAGAAAACAGAGTTTGAAAAATGCCTCGTACAGGGTGAAGTGATTCTTGGGAGGCATGTCGGCTCGGTCACTTTTCTCCGGAATGACGAATTCTACCGCCTCGGAGATTCCAAAGCAGCGTCGTAACGCCTTGAGTGACTCAGGGGAAGAGAGCGTGGAACCAAGGGATCAGGCCTTTGCCTTTTCCCTCGCTTAAATTGTCTCTTCCCAGAAGAAGAAGCGCCTCAGGACGCCATGAGACGTTTTAATTCAAGTCTCGCCTCGACCGGATCGAAGGGGAACGCTTCTTCCTCGGCGTTCACCGCGGCGTAGTCAACGTCTTCATTGTGGATGGGACCCTAGGAGCAGCTCGTCGAAGCAGATGCATCGTTATTTAAAGAGCGAGCACCCGAGGGACTCGAGGAATTCAACGCCTCATCGCCTTCAGAGAAGTCGTTGGAAGGGCTCGGCAAGACAGACGCCTCGGAAGACCCCGTCGTGCCTCTCGCCTCGGCATCTGCACAGCTCGGCTTGTAGTGAAAAAGGGGTTCTAGCGAATCATCCGAATGGTTCGTCATGTTTTACAACTTGTACAAAAAAATTAATACTTCACGGCGAGGTTCGTCAGAAAAAGATCTGAAACGGCAGAGGCCTCGAAACCCTAGCTAGAAAATAAATAAACTAGAGAGAGTAAGAAGAGAGAAGGGAGAGCTACCTTTAGTGAAAATCAAAGATCTGAAGTTATGAGGGAGAAGTGAAGGGGGCTCATCCTTTTATAGAACGGATGAGGCGCATGGGATCCGCGTAGACCTCGGGAAGCTGCAAAGATTAATAAATAAGAGCGCGTGGAATCCGTGACGTATGAATAATTTCTAGGCACGGCCATTGCACGCGCCAATACCCGAGATTTTCTGTCGAGGAACCGACGATCGGTAAATACATTTCGCGTAACGCATCCTACGCTAACCGAGCTGTCTGGACGGTATAACTACATATCCAAGAGTGTCTCATAAACTAAGTGGATCAACGCGGTAGTGTTTTCTCGTCATCAAAAACGGTTCATCTGTGCCCTTCACTAAAAATGCTTCGGCGTACACTCGTAAAATGCCTCGCCGTTAAACATGTCTCGGCTTTCTTTGAAAAACGTCTCGTCATAAACACGGCTCGGCGTACACTCGTAAAACGCCTCGTCGTTAACATGGCTCGGCTTTCTTTTGAGAAATGCCTTGTTATTAACACGGCTCGGCATTTATTCGAAAAACGCCTCGTCTTTGACATGGCTCGACCTTCTTTTGAGAAACGCCTCGTCGTTAGTGTGGCTCGGCATTAACTAGTAAAACGCCTCGACGTTAACATGACTCGGCCTTCTTTTGAGAAACGCCTCGTCGTTAGAATGGCTCGGCGCCGCACAGGTATTCCCGTACAAAATACCTTGTCAATGGCTTCAACACGGCTCGACATCACGCTCGTAAAAACGCCTCGCCATTAATACGGCTCGGCGTCATTCGAGAGACGTCTCATCAGCTCGACATCCTGTCAAGAATACCTCGTAATTGTTGCTCTAGGACGGTTCGGCACCTTAATCGCCTCGTCAGATAAATTGGCATCTCCCTGGAATCACGTTACCAGCACAACGGCTCGGTATCATTTCGTCTTGAAGAGACTCGGCAAAACCGCACCATGGAGGTTCGGTGAACATGGTCAATTCAGCCTCCGGAGCTTCATACCTCATCACTCTCGTCTCCGAGACCGACGAGTTGGGGGGCTGACTGTTGGGGTCGGTTTCCACCTTAGCTGAATTAACCATCTCAAGATGACTAAGTGTCAAAAGGTATTTGGATCCGAGCTCTGTGAGGGAACAAGCCGAGCCCATCCATGAAGCAGGATGGGCCGAGCCCCAAAATCATATGGGCCGAGCCCTGAAGGAAGCACGGACCAAGCTGAGAGCCGATATAGGCCGAACCGTACAAATGTTGCGGGCTGAGCTACGTAACGATGCAGGTCCTGAATCGGTATGGATCAAGCCGTAACGCGGAAGGGGCCGAGCCCCCCATTAACCTGAGTTGGGCCGAGCTGTATGAGGAAGCCCATGAAGAACCCTAGACGAGCCATTAAAGTCGGTGGCCGCACGAAGTGATAAGGAAATATTCCAAAAATCTCTCCCGAGATTTTCGGCTAGACAGTTTAGAGAATTAGTATAAATAGACGATGTATGCGATTCATTATATAATTTTTCACAATTCAAGAGTAATAAGACTCAAACATTTTTTTAGCAAAAAAAACCCTTTTTTGATCTTATTGTTCTTACAATAAACCATAGAAATTTTGGATCCCTTAAATTTTTTTTAACAAATTTTTGGTTATGCGAGTTTTGTCTCACACACTAACTAACTCGATCAAATTTCAATCTAAAGGCATAAATCACATAAGTTCAAATACTTTTTGCAACCTCATTCAGAAGATCTCAAATTTTATCATACATCACTCTTATAGCTTAAAGTATTGAAAACCATAAATAATATGTAATGAAATTTTTATTGATAAATATAATCTGTATTTATATTTAGACTAGGCTATTTGTAAAAATTAATTTTGGTATAGTGTAGAAGAACTAAAAATATGCTAGTCAAGAGAAATTATCTAAGTTTGAACTTTGACTAAGAAAATAATTAACAACATTTAATTTCTGAAATGATTTTTAGCATAGAAATTTCATAGCATAACCATTTTGTGTGTTATTTTCTTAAAACTGCCACCAAAGTACCTAATTTTAGTACCAAAAAAATCAAAGTTAACACTGGTCACAATTCTTAAACTTTTTTCTGTGGTATTCTGAGATTTTTATAAAGAAAAATTATGATGATTTTTATTTAAATTTAACCCATTGGATTTAACTCATTATATAATTCACTAATATTATCTAAAATCATTTAAAATATTATAATTTGGTTCATGCACAGAACTCTTACTAAATAGAAATTTTGAAGGAAAAACAAACTTTTCCATTTAGTTTATAATGAAGTGTCATTCACGCACAGCCTTCAATTTATAGAAAGACAGAAAATAATATCTTTGACTAAATTTAGACAAAATTTCAAGAGTTTATAAATTACAAAATAATTTCCATTAAAACTCCAACTTGACACAATTAATATATATACATATATATACATATATCCCCATATATATATATATATATCATTGTTCCGTGAAGGAATTTGTAAAATCCAAAAGGAAAATTTTGAAGTCAAGGGAGCTACAAAGAAGAAGGTATGTGTGTACTGCTTTTTTTTGTTGTTGTTGTAACATCTTCTGTATTGATCATATTGGGTGATAGGAGAAGTTTATGAGCCAAACAAGGGACAATGAAAAATATTAAAAGATACATTCGATTCATTTGCAATAGATTAATTGTTTAAGTTTTTCGATGGAAATCCGAAGTTTATCACACTCAAACTGATGATTTATGTTACATGTTCGCATCAACAATGAAAGTTGAAAACAAATAACTCAAAATGCTAACAAACAAACAAAACATACTTTGAAAAGAAAAACACGCGCATCAGTTTCTTTTAGAGTTTTCTTTGATTTGAAACTTAAAAATTTATTTCACGATTTCAGTTTTAACAAATATTCAACAAAATCCAATTTATAATTAACATATAGATCTTTATTTCGTTTACTTTTTACTGTTTTTTTTTTAATAATTATTGTCGGTGATAGTTGAGATAAAACAGAAGAAAGATGGATAACAAAAACAAAGGAAAGATGGTTGAGGACGATGATTCAAAGGAGATGGAAAAAAACAAAGGAAAGATGGTTGCTGACGATGATTCAAAGGAGCTGAAGAAAAACAAAGGAAAGATGGTTGAGGACGATGATTCAAAGGAGATGAGAAAAAACAAAGGAAAGATGGTTGCGGACGATGATGCAAAGGAGCTGAAACAAAACAAAGGAAAGATGGTTGCGGAGGATGATACAAAGGAGACGAAACCAATGTTAACTTGTGCTCTCTGTTTCAAGATACTTGACACAGACTCGGCCGCAGTCCTATCTCAGTGCCTCCACAGATGTGAGTCATATCAATTCTCTCTGATTATATTTTTTTGTTTTGTTTTGTTGATTCTGCATGCTTTTTTATTTATAATAATCATGAGTCGTTATTTATCATGAGCTTAATACGCAAATATGTAGGAAATAAATAATTCTATCATCTATAAACTGGTTATAGTAATTCATGCATTGCGTATACTGTTCACTAGAAGAACTTTAGTGCCTTCAATAGCTGGCTTCATAAGGTGTATTTGATATGAAGATTGGAATTTGTATAATCAATTTCAGCTCCAAATAAAAGGATTTATTAAATTTTTGTAAACAGTTTGCTTGGGATGCGTTACTGGCAAGATACTAAGAGATGATTGGAGTTGTTGTCTACTCTGCTTCGCTGAACTTGGTCCCCAGCCTCTCGGAGAATACAGGTACTCACTTCAATCTATTTAAATTATAATCATTTTCCATTTTTAGTTCTTGGTTTCATATTACTTCGTGAAACATTTTCTACATTAAACCAAGTGGTTGTGAGCTAGCTAGTGGTTTCCACTTCTTGAGGAATTGTCTTGTTGATCTAGGTCAGAGTCGGAACTCGAAATTTCTGAAACTTCATCGTCATCCTCCTCCTCTTCTGAAGATTCGGCGTCATCCTCAGACTCTTCTGAAGCTCCTAAGCAAGAAGATATGAAAGATGTAGATCCATCAGTTCAAGCAAAGAAGAAGCACAAGGTGACAAAAGAATAAGTACAAGGCTGGTCCTCTTGTACGGTCGCATATCTCAACCTTGAATTAGTTCTCTCAAGGGTACTAATGATGCAAGTTATCTTCTGGGTTTTTTCTTTACTCTCATTTCTTGAAAAACTATTTTCAGTTATTGAATAAGTCTTTGTCCTCTCTACTTTGACATTAAGAAAGCAAAGTTGGTTGATGTAGTAAGGCCCAAAAGACCTCGAACAAAGGGTTATTTATTTTTTTCAGTTTGGTTTAATTGAACTAGTTTGCTTTTTATGTTTAGTTTGTTTAGTTTCCGCTCTTTTTGTCTTGGAAGTAGCTTCGTAGATCTTCTCATCTATGCTTTCTGAAGGCTGATTCTTATTATGTTGACGGATTTTGCTCGGTTAAGATATCCTTTCAGATCACTACATATCTCTTTTAGATTTATTCTTGCCGGTGTTTGTCGATCAGGTTTGTTGCTACTAAAAGTTTTCTTATTTGTCCGTGATCTAGGTCCTTCGTTTTGGTTGTCTTGTTGAAAACTTTCTCCCAAAAATCGTTTGAACTTGAAGTTAACCTATAACGCTTCTACCAAACCTTTTGTTTTAAGTTGATCTTTCAGTTGTTCTTTTGACTTCGCCGGGTCCTTGTGTTTTGTGATCTAGACGTAGGTTGAATGAGATTGTTGTAGCTTCTTATAGAACATATAGAAGCAGCCCAAACTTAAGTCTTATGTTAAGCCAATAAGCCCTTTAGTTTATGTATTCTAAGGTTTTAAGAAAGTTTAGATATATATATGTTGCTATGAGGATGAATGTGAAAAACATTGAAAAACTTCTGATTTAGTAGTCTTTTGGGTTAAAGTTTCGGTATTTTAGACTATTTTTTGTTGTGTTTGTCTTTCTTCATTACAACGATATTCGGAAAAATGTGGTTCTACTTTCAAGGGATACCATATTAACTATTTCCGCCGACTCTGTATCCTTCCAATCATTGATATTAAGTAGTTATTTGTCAAGATATAGACTTTTTAATATTATACATGGTCGGCTACTCGGCTTAGCATAACGAATCCGTCGTAATGACATATGATCGCAAATCATACAAATCCGTAATTATCTAACAAAATAATCATAGCTTAGAGGAGAGATCTAGCTCCTCTCGTTAAACACTAATCAATAATTACTGAATTCCAATTGATTAATATATAATAGACAATCCATAAAAAAACATAAAAATTTAAACCATAAACCAGAATAGATGAATCCAAATGCCATAACTATCTACCGAGATAATAATAGAACATTATGTCCTACTAAACGATTGGTGAACCCATACTGATTGACGTAGAAGAATTCTAAACCCAAATTGGAATGGGCTGGGATAAATAAAACATAATGTCGTAACTATATATTATATTGTATTGGAGGAACTCTAACACAATGTCTTAACTACCCAACAAAATATGTAAACTACCCAATACCTAACTACAGATGCCAACCAAATTTTAAATGAGTAAACTAGAGTCGAATCACAAAAAAAAAAAAAAAAATGTTATGAGCCAATGAGAATGCAAGTTAATTTTTAAACACATCGTTTGTTTAAGATTTCCAAAGGGCTACATAAATTTCTATTCAAATCAAGAAAAATTTACAGTAAAAGCATTCAAATAAAAAGACAAAATATAAGCAATGAGAACTAAACAAAAGTAATGCAGAGAAGATCGATAAGAGAAAGTATTGGGTATTGGAGTCAGGTCAAAGACTTGATATGACTAATATTTGGAAAATGATGCTAAGAAACTTGGTCAAAGTTCAATTTGAAGACATAAATCACAGAAAGTAGACAAATCTATTCTCATACACTAATCCATTTACTAATCACTATGCTAATCAATTTTTTCATTAATAACTTAGTGACCAGTAATCCTTAAGAATAAGTCTATTGAACCTACAAATCATCTTTAGAATCAGTACCCACTAGTTTAAAATGAAGTGCATGACTCAGAGTGGAGTTAGGCATTTCATTAAATACTTTCAAGAAATGAAATATCTCATAAAATTAGGTTCGATTAGCAAAGATCACACATACTGTTAATGCATTCTAATCATTTAGATGTGTAAACATACAAACCTAGACATCATTAATCGACCTAACTTACCTATCACAAGGCTCATAGTTAAAGTATTCACACAGAAAAAAAGAAATGCAATAAAAAAAGATAAAAGATCAAGACATAAATATAATAAAATTAATAGAGGAAAAAAATATATATAATAAAATTAATAAAGAAAGTGAAAGTTTGACAAATTATAATGATGTGCTCAAGATCCTAGAGAAATCATATCAAACAGGCAAAAAGAATGTTGCTAAGGATAGTCATGACATAAAATTAGGTCTAAGTTTAATTATACTAGAAAGTGGGTGAACCGGGTCCATCCACAACAAATCAGGTCAGGTGACCGCCATGCAAATCTCCAGGACAACTTCTTTCATCTCGGTTTCTTATCCTTGGCATCGGTTGTGGGCATCAGCGTTTGGACTGATGTGGGTGTCTCCACGGAGCGTATTCTTCTTCGTAACTTTGCTCGTTCCCTGCATCGGTCATTCAACTGATGCAGAGGTCTTTAGGGGTAGGTCTTTTTTGGTACTTCATATCTGCTACGTCGCCTCCCTGCATCAGTTTAGCAACCCATGCATGCTTCTCGTCTTTTGATTTATTCCTTCTAGTGTTTTCTCCCTCAAATGTATTCCTCAGCAAGCCTTCAAAAGTACTTATGAGAATTGATATGCAAGTCCAGAATGCTATATACACAATCTAAGACCCTAAGATTGCAAGACATGAAAATCTTAGGCTAGATGCATGATAATGAATGAAACTATGCAAAAAGAAATGGAAATAACGGAGAAAAGAAGTACACATCAACTACCCAAAAAAAATTCTACTAACATTAAAACATATTATGTTTTACGAGAAACTTTCTTAACAATTACTGCTCATTTTTAAAAATTAGACCATCAACTTCTCGTCTTTCAAAATTTTCCGTTTTATTAGATTTACTAAACTATATAACAAATTTGTATGAATACTTGTTCTTTTACTTCAAAAGGTTTGAAATTTATAGTGCAATATCCCTAGTTATAGATTACGCTGACATTTTAAAAAATAAAACAATAACAAAAGAAAAGTGTATACTAGGCTTTGAAAAATTATATATACTTTTAAAATATCAGTTAATTAGTTTATGGCTCCCATGTTAGTATAATCAAATAAACAAGGTGGTCAGATTTTAGTCATGTACCAACTCAATTCATTATTAATTTAGATAATAATGCAAATACAAGGAATAAAAAAATTTCCAACGTTTTCCGATGTGTATGTCTTTCACTGACTCTGTGTGTAAATTTTAACACCCCTGTCATTAGCAATTTGATAATTCTAGTTTTTTTTTTTTTGCAACATCATTCAAAAGAACTCAGAAAATTTTCTGAAATCATTTTTATAGCTTAAAGTATTTAAAACAATGAATATTAAAATGTGATGAAATTTTTGTTGATAAAGTTAATCTGTATTTGAATTTAGACTAGGCTATCTAGAAAGCGTCTGACCTCATTGTTTTGTAAGAATTTAATTTTTGTGTAGTGTTAGAAGAATTAATTATATGCTAGTCAAAAATTTTTATGAAGTATGAAGTTTGACTAAAAAATAAACCAATTTTAAATATTAGAAAATATTTTATTATAGAAATTCCATAGCCTAACCATTTTTGTATTTGTTTTCTTAAGACCGCCACCAAAATACCTATTATTCGTAAAACAATTTCTGTGGTATGCTGTGATACTTTGAAAGGACACAATTAAAAAACAGTAATTCTGGGATTTTCTTAATATACTTTACTCTCTTAATATATAGAATTTTTTTCTGGAAAAAGCAATTAATGTTTCCATTTCATCCATATGACATATGTCTGATTCATGCATTAGCCTTCACTTTATAGAAATTCAGAAAAAAATATTTTTAATTAACTTTTGACAAAATTTCATTGGTTTATAAATTAAGTAATTTCAATCTGACAATATATATATATATATATATATGTGTGTGTGTGAAAGAATTTGTGAAATCTAGAAGGCGTATCTTGAAGCAGGCATAGCTACAAACGAGAAAAAGGTACGGATGCACTCCTTTTTCTGTTTGAAACATCTATTTTATGAATTATACTGGGTTTTTTTCTTTTTTCTTTTTTTCCGAATTATACTGGGTTATACTAGAAGTTTATGAGCCAAACAGGCAGAAAATAAAGGATATTAGTAAATTATAAACAAAAATCCTTAAGAAGACATGAGAGTATCACAGGATAAAAGCAGTTAATGTTGATGAAGTTTACAGACAACCAACAATCTCCAAATTATAATAGCTAAAAAATAGATCTTTATTTCGTTTACTTTTTATTGTTTTTTCTATTGTTGTTGGTAGAAGTTGAGATAAAACAAAAGAAAGATGGACAAAAAAAACAAAGGAAGGATGGTCGAGGAGGATGATAAAATGGCTGTTAATACGAAGGAGCTGAAACCATTGTTTACTTGTGCTATATGTCTCATGATATTTCGCCAAACCACAGCCCTATCTTGCCTCCACAGATGTGAGCCATCTATTCTCTCTAATTGATTTGCATCATTCTGTTTTGTTGGGTTCTGCATTATTTATTCTATAATCATCATTAGTCGTTATTGATCATGAGCTCTATATTTTGTGTATACATCTCTTCTATCTTTCATAGAAAATACTTAATAGTTATATATATATACCATTTGATCATCTATAAATATTTATATTACTTCACACTATTGCGTATATATACTGTTCACTACAAGAACTATTTTGCCTTTAGTCGCTCGGTTCATATGTTATATCTTATTACATCATTTTGTTGTGTTAGGTTCTTTTTTTTTTTAAATGAAATTGTGAAGGTTCTACATTCCTTATTTTATAATCATTAGTCGTTATTGATCATGAGCTTTATATTTGTGTATACATCTCTTTTATATTTCATAGCAAATACTAAATAGTTATATATATATATATATATATATATATATATACAGTTTGATCATCTAGAAATAGTTATATTACTTCACACCATTGCGTATATATACTGTTCACTACAAGAACTATTTTGCCTTTAGTCGATCGGTTCATATGTTGTATCTGATTACATCATTTTGTTGTGTTGGGTTCTACATTCCTTATTTTATAATCATTAGTCGTTATTTATCATGAGCTTTATACTTTGTGTATGTATATCTGTTTTATCTCTTATAGCACATAGTAATACGCATATATATATGACTTAATCATCTCTAAACTGATTATATTACTGTTCACTACTAGAACTATATTTTGATATCAGGATTGAAATTATTATAAATTTTTCAACCCCAACTAAATCTTTTGTAAACAGTTTGTTGGAAATGCATCTCTGGCAAGATAAACGAACATGATTGGAAATGTTGTCCAGTCTGCTATAATGATTTTGGTCCAGAACCTCTCGAAGAACTCAGGTACTCACTTCAGTCTAACCATTTTTTAGTTCTCGGTTTCAGATTACTTCTTGAAACATTTTCTACGTTATATTTATATTCATATTTACTTCATTGATATTTCCTCTATACACTCATGTATATATTCTTCAAATAATTTTGGTTTACATTACAGATCCGACCAGACTTTCGATAGGTTGATTCGGATGATCTGGGGGAAACAAGAAAATGTGGAGTTGGAATCCGAATCTTCTTCGTCTTCATCCTCCGACACTTCTGGATCATCGTCGTCATCCTACGACTCTTCTGGAAACCCAGAGCAAGAAGATGCGGGTCCATCGATACATGCAACGAAGAAGTACAAGGTGACGAAAAACTAGGATGTTCAGGAGCTACATGCGTCATGGTACTCTTGTTTGGTCGCAAATCTCTTGATGGCGCAAGTTATCTTCTGGCTTTCTTCTTTACTCATATCTTGAAAAACTATTTTCAATTATTGAATAAGTCTTCGACCCCTCTGCTTTCACATCAAGAAAGCAAAGTTGGTTGATGTAATAAGCCCAAAAGTCTTTGGACAAAGTTTCCTTTTGTTTGTTTCGATTTGGTTTAACTGAAGTACTGAACTAGCTTGCTTTTGATCTTTTTGTTTTGGTTTCAAGATATTTGAACCGTTATATTACAACCCTAGTGTTTTTCTATTCAAATCGCTGAGCTTGAACTTCGAAAATGATAAATCATAAGGAACAACAATTAAAACTAGGATTAAATATTACTTTTCAAAATGATTTGGTTCTTCGGGTTTTAGCTAGATCAATCAGCAGTTCTTCGTTTGTACTACCTTTGTTTCATGATAATTGTGTTTTTCGACGCTTACTAAGAAAAATTCTCAATTTAATAACCTAAAATAATAGAGATAAAACTAATTTTTTATTTAAAATCTAATTTGGAAAAAAAAAACAAAACGAATTGATTTGTAAAATAATAACAATTTTTTTGGCAGTCTGATTCCTATTTAATTTACAAGGTATAAAGACATTTATATTTAAATTATATTTTAGTTAAGTTTGTTATTCTCGTGTTAGTATATATTTGCTGGTCAAATTTTTTTCATATTAACTTATAAATCGTGTTATTCAGATAAGAATGCCAGTACAAAGCTAGTCATGTCAACTTATCTTGAAACGTTTTCGGATGTATTTTATACATGATATATATCATAATCCCTTAAATAACAATTTTGACAATTTAAATTAAAAGATTCTTTTGTAATATCATCCAAATGTTTCTTAATAATAGCTTTTTTCTATCTTATAATTAAAAAGGTATATATAATAGTGTAATAAAATATTTATGTATTTTGTTCAAAATTAGACAAAGCTATGATCAAAGTTTAACAATCTATAGTACATTGTGATCTTGTAAGAAATCAATTTCCATGTATGAAGATTGAATAGCAATTTTATGTTTTTATTTCTAATAGAGTCACAATTCTTAAATTTTCATTTTTGTGGTATTCTGTGATCTTTAAAAAGAAAACAAAAAAGAAGAATTGGAATTTTGACTACCCTTTTTCTATATTATTTTAAAACTAACTTAATCTAAATAAGATTTGTTTCATGCACTTTACCCTTAATATAGAAAAGTACAGAATAAAATTTTAGTGTTTGCATATAATGTATATATGAAATTTGATTCATGCACATTATGAGTCTTTCATTTTTCAGAAATACATAAATATTTTTTTGTTGATTAAAATAAAAAAAGCTTTGTTAAAAATGAATTAATTAACATCAAATAGTTTAACACTATATATATCATTGTCACATGAAGGAATTTGTGCAAGCTAAAAAGTAAACGTCATAGCTACAAAGGTATGTGCGCTTGTATTTTTGTTTTCAATGTATTTGTTCATGTCTTTTAGTTTGTTTTCTTTTTTTTTTGTTAAAGCTTTTAGTTTGCTTTCAATATATAAAAACCGTTTTGCATACTCACATATTCCACTACAAGTCTACAATTCTTACAAAAAGATCCAACAAACAATTCTTAACCATTAACTACTACTACGAAGGTTGGAACTCGGATATATAACTCGATCTATTTATCTATTTTGTTTTCTATATATCTTTTGTACATATCTTATATATATAATCTCTTTTAAAGAATAATTTTTATTATTAAGAAGCAATTCTCAAACAAATAAGCATAACAACCCAAATACTAGCTTAGGCTTTCTAAAATGTGCCCACTTTACTTTGGCGTCAGATTCGTTTCATACAAATGATAAATAAGAAACCATATTCATTTAGCACACTTACATATTGTTTTTGTGGGGCAAAGCACAGTTGCATATTTATCATTTCAATATCTAAAAAAAAAAGGTCCAACAAACAGCATAATAATGATATTTAGCATTTGAGTCTCCTTAAGCATCAACTATGAAAAATGAAAACGATAATCAAACATTATGATAACAAACAAACAAACAAATTTTTGTAAAAAAACGTGTGCATCGGTTTGTTTTTTATTTAATTTTTAAATTTGAAATATTATATTACCATAATAATGTTGTATTTATATATCTATAAAAAAAATTCAATATAGATTATATACCATATTAAAATACATATTTTTTTGGTCAAAGTAATTTATTTTGGTTTGGAGTTAGTTTGTTAACAATAAACTTAGAATCTATAAAACTTATGAAATTTAAGTCTCAAAAGTGTTAGCTGTGCTGTTATTAATATACTTAATATTGGTGAAGTTCATAAACAAATATCCATTTTTACAATATCAAAATAGATCTTCATTGCGTTTTGTTTTTGTTGTTGTTGTTGATAGAAATTGAGGAGAGGCAAAGAAAGATGGCGGCAGAGACTTGTGATATCTGCAAAAATTTAATTGGCCAAGGCACATCTTTAAACCAGTGTCTTCACAAATGTGAGCCCTCAATTCCCTCTAATTAAATTGTTTTCTTTCATTTCCAATTTTTATATGAATATTTGAGCAAATTTATCTTGTTAGCTGTTTTTGTTCTTTTGTTTCAGCAGCAGTTTGTTCTGTTGGGGTTCTGCATTCTTTATTTTAATGGATATTTCATTGGGTATAATCTTACTATTGAAAATAAAATAAAAATTAGAATATATCAATGAAATCGATTTAGTCGAATAGTCGAGATTATGAAAATCATCAAGAAAGATAGATGATTATTGATATATACACCAAATTTGTAGTTTAGAATATTTATTTTTATCTCTATAATTATAATTTATATTTACGTTTATTATAATGTACAAAAGTTAGGTATAGTTTCATCTCTATCCCGCATATTAATCAGTTGAAGTACTCAAAAGAGTTTCTTAACAATTTGATTTTGATATTTTAAAATGATTCATTTATAAATTTAAATTTAATTTTTGAAAAAAATAGTTGAACTACTTATAAAGTGACAAGTCTCTAAGAATTCTTCATGGGCTTCTCAAAATTTCTCAAATTAAAATCGATTTTCACTATTTTTTTTTACTTTTTTAATCTTTTTTTTTTTAATTTTCATGTCGAAGTACTCATTAAGATCTCAGAGACTCCCACTTGAAATGTTCATAGTCGTTCGTGATGCTTTTAACACTATAATCTACCAGTGAGTCGTCATTTATCATGAGCTTCATATTATGTGTATATGTACAACTTTTAATCTTTCATAGAAATAGTTATATCCATATAACTATGGATGAAAAAATAAATAAATAATCTATAAATTGGTTAGAAACTTATATTACGTCACCTTGCATTTACTCACTAAATGAACTTTTTTTTTTGTTTTTTGATAGCTGTGGAAAATGGCAAGCCATTGATACCGAGTAAGGCTGAGGAAGATGACAACAAAATTTTGATGCAACCACTCGTCGGTAACATTGGTGTCAATATGGAGCCTACTGTTTTTGGAGCTTCTTCGTCATCTCCCATGGATATGAAAGATGTCAAGCCATTGACAATGGTTAAGTCTGAAGATGGTACGACACCGTTGATGCAAACACAAACCGGTGAAAGTAGTGTCGAGTCGGAGAGAGCTGATGAGCCAGTGGATGATGAGCCAATGGTTGATGAGCCAATGGTTGATGAGTCAATGGATGATGAGCCAATGGATAATGAGCCAATGGTTGATGAGCCGGTTTTGCATTCTAATGGCTTTGAAGATCAAAACCATGTCCCCCTATCCAATGAAGATACAGAGGAGGAAACCTCTGGTGGTGAAGAAGAAGATGCACCACAGCAAGCAGCTGATCCTGTGGGGAACGATGCACCACAGCAAGAAGCTGATCCTGTGGGAAACGATGCACCACAGCAAGCAGCTGATCCTGTGGGGAACGATGCACCACAAAATGCTCTTGGAGACAACAATATTCCACTCTGGTTTACATTACTCGCTTTTAAAAACCAGTAAGGCTTTAGTATTGCTCAGATTTTTATCTCTTGCTTAAATGTATATGTCTTATATTAAAACATGTTCGTGCTTGTCTTTTAGGGATACCGATGCACCATTGCCACAAATCCCCTCTCGTTACCTGAGGATCAAGTAAGCTCACTTCTTCATCTCTTTTGAATTAATAAATACCTTTGTCTTTTCAGTTACGGTAATTATTTTTGGGGTGAAATTATGTTAAATAACCAAAAGCCCTACTATATTTTACTAACATGGATAATTTTGGCTACTATATTCCTTATATAAATTACAACATATACTTAATTACCCTTTATAACACACTATGCAGCCTCGCTTTTTTATTTCTTGATTCTTTTACCCCCATCTCATCTAATTTGATTTTCATATTAAACATATAATCATACTGACAAAAACTTTTTTTTTTCTCACATACCACAGTTTTAGTTTTTACACATATTTTAAAAACTACATTTTTGTTTTTGGTTTCGAGTTTATTCACAGAGTTTAAAGCTTATTTTTGGATTAGAAGTTTAGCTTTTTAGGTTTAGGGTTTAGAATTTTGGACTGTACATTTATTTATGTAGGACTTATGTTTTATGTTTAAAAGTATAGTATAACATTTTATTTTATGTGTTTCTATATAGTACAACATAATATTCACTTAATTCTACACAAAACATATAGACATACGAATGATCTACATAGAGACAACAATGGAGTAGTTTTTTTTTTAAATAATTAACCTCTCTTTTTAGGGTTTTAAAACATTTATAGTGTTTGAAACTTCTTGATTGTTTGAGTTTGGCATTAAGGATTCAGGATTTAGGGTTAGTATATTGGATTTAGGATTTATGAATAATATAGTATAGCATTGTATCTTATGGGTAAAACGATAATATATACTAAAGATATGATGATGTTATAAGAAAGAGATGATGATGGCAACCTCTCACCTCTCTCATGCCATTTCATGTAAAAGAAAGAAGTACCTTAGTCATAATGGCAATAAAATGGTTACGTGTAAATTTACAATATTTACATAGCTATATTTATTATGTATCTACATGAAATTGTTATTCAACAAATTAACTTTTTTTTATGATTATTTGCTTGTTAATCTTCACAGGGACAGTAACTTACCTGTTTCATATGTCCAGAAGTACGTTGCAATGAAACTCAAACTCGAAAGCGAGGACGAGGTAACTTCCTCTTCCTCCTCTTTCTTAAACTTCTGATTTTCACTCAAACAGAAACGATATATCGATTTAGAGAGGGAATTAGGCTCTAATTAATTTGGAGGGTTTTGTGGATTATTGCAGGTGGAGTTATACTTGAGGAACCAGCCTTTGGATCCATCGATGTTGCTGTGTGACTTATTAGCGTATTGGATTGCGACTGCATGTCCTCGAAGAATCGTTACAAATGTGGGAGCTTCAGGTGCTAATTACATGCTGGTCCTCTCCTACAGTCGCAAACCTAAACCCGAGAGTCCGTGACTTAGCTATGCTCAAAGGTTACTTTTAGCGCAAGTTATCTTGTGGCTTATCTTCTCTCTTTATTCTCAAAAAACTCTTTTCAATTATTGAATAAGTCTGCATCTGCTCTACTTTCAGATCAAGAAATTAGAGCTGATTGATGTAATATTAAGACCCAAAAGTCCTTTTTTGGAACTTTTTTATTTTATTTTTTATTTTGAAGAAGGTTGAATTGAACTAGTTGATCTGGTTTCAGGATGTATGAACCGATGATATTTATTTAAATTTTTGTACTGATTTTGGTTTGTTTCAGTTTATGTTATTCAGATTCTGTTTAGTTTAGTTGGTTTATCAAGATTTATAGACCGATTGGTTTATCAAAACTTTCGGGTTGGTTTTAGTTCCGGTCAATGAAGGGGACAAGAAATAGAAATTGGTTCGGTTAACTTTGGTAATCTGGTTAGAGACATTCGGTTTGACTTCGATCAATTTCCCATATGGTTGGTTTCTTTTCAGGGGAATTGGCCGAACTCGAAACTAACCAGTTCTGTTTTTAGGATTGGCTAATGACAATTTGGAGTTTCATGTCTTTAATCAACTGTAACTAATCTCATAATTGGAACCTAAACCAATCAAGAAAGCAATCTTAAAGAGGATATCTCAAAAATGAAAGGGAATAAAAGAGCTAGGCTAAGATTACTTAACCTATCAAAAGACTTCAGGTTTGTATAACAATCACATGTACGGCTCATCGGATCCTGTGAGTGAGATGGGACCAAGTGAATCGTCTTCCATAGTTGCCAGAACTTGAACATCGTTTCCTTCTGTGTCTACTCCATCCTCAAACCGCACTGCGTAAACCTCAAACCTCACAACAACTTCAGCAGCTATCTTAGTGAGATCGTCTTTCTGAAAACACGGCTTCTCGTCCTCTGACTCTGCAGCCGGTAAATACCGGTAACCCGGCATTTTCAAGCGAGAGAGGTATGCGTTTCTGAGTGGACCCGACCGGATAAAAACTCCGGTCAAATACACTTTGTATACAACCCCTTGCAAGATATCTCCTTTTGCAGGCAAGAACGTGCGGCATGTGAAGGAGACAGTGAAACTGAGGACCTGTTCTTGATGATCGTTGTTGTTGTTGTTGTTGTTACTGTTGTTGTTACTGATGCTCTTTAGGGCGGTGATGCCGAGATAGAAACCGTGTTCCCTGCATGCTGTCTCGCCTATTAGATCGTTGAGTAGTCTTGATATAATCTGTTGGTGTGATGGCGATTGGCTCTTCAAGAGTTTGCCACATATAGCCACGTCCCGAGTAATTTCTACTTCTGAAAACATGTTTCACCTGAGGCCAAGTTCAAGGAGTAATCATACAAACCGTAAGACAAAATGAGTCCTACAACTATAAACAAGAACTATAAAAGATTAATCAAGCAGTTTAAAGTGCAGGTCATTAAGAAACCATCAAATTAAGTAGTTAGAGCGTTTAATGTAACTGCTAAGAGTTAATTGTTCAGCTTAGCAAAGGAATCAACCAAAAGCAGAAAATTGAAAGCAAAGTAGTCAAAAATTGAAACTGCTTATTCACATTAAAACCTGGAAAAAAGCACTAAAACTGCTTCAACAAGATTTAACAGGTCAAACAATCTTCTGGGAAATTTACACAACTCTGAAGTGATCTTAACAGATACAAAATGAGTCCTAAAACTATAAACCGCTGCTCATAACTCTAACTCGCAATTTCCACCTGACAAAAGAAGATTTATAAAGCAGTTCAAAGTGCGGGTCATCAAGAAACCATCAATTAAGCAACTGCAGATAACAAATTTTATGATTAAAGTTAGAGCGTTTAGCCTTATATGTAACTGCTAAGAGTTATTTGATCAGCTTCATTCTAGATTGGAGCAAAGGAATCAACCAAAAGAAGAAAACTGAAAGGAAACTAGTCAAAAACTGAAACTGCTCGCTCATTTACATTAAGCCCTAACTGAAAACACTGAAACTGCTCATTTTCACAACTCTGAAGTGATCTTAACAGATACATGAAGATTCCTTTTTTTTTTCTCTACTCCAAGAAAACCACAATAACCTTACAGAGAAAGAGGAATCGATACATGCTTCTTGCTTCCAATACCAACTAGCTACACAACATATGTATAACTGTCTGAAATCTCCTTCGATGTTCGATTCTACCTTGAAAACTTCATTTACAGAGAAACCCATCATCGTAATAATTAAAACTTTCCCTCTATTTTTCAAAATGATAAACCCAAATGTATTCCCTTTATCACTAAATCGAATTCGCACGCGTAACAAAATCTTCAACAAAAACAGAGGAGAATCGCAAATCAAAAGGGCGAAAAAAATCTAACCTTGGAAAGAAAATTCGATGACTCATAGATTTCTCCTACTCTCTGCAAATTTGTAATAGCACTTTTGACTGAAGAAAAATGGTTCCGGACACAAAGGACGTATGTTACTGAACTCTATTGCATTTTGAGCGCATTTTAGCCTCTTTCTGTTGAACTTTTACTAGAATACGCCGTTTTGGGCCATGTTTGTTAAAAAAGAATTTGTTCTTGGCCCGGTTACGAAAGACCACATATCCAAACAACCCTCTAAATATCTCCACCATCTTTCCCCGCCATGGATAACACAGATCCAGAGCTTTCGTCTCGTAGCCGAAAGGAAAAAAAAAGAAAAGCTGGAATTTATATCGGCATTTTTCTATGAATTTAAGATTTTCTATGTTTCTGTGAGTACCCATTTGAGATAATTTGTCTCAGAGATGACGATGAATCCAAGTCACCATTTTTGCCCAGCAGCTGTTAATTCGTTGGGAAGCTCCTTCTGCGAATTCCATGGAAACAGTTCCTTTCGATTCTTAAGGTACGGCTCATCAATTTCACTTTGGTCACATAACGGTGCTGAAGCTTCATCGAGGAGATTGGATTTCTCTACTATGAAGAAGGCTAAAAGATTATCGTGTGATGGTAATAGTAGCAGTAGGAATGAGGATTGGAACAGAAACCATAAGCATAATCAATTTAAACCACAAAAGGTAGTTTTAAATCATCGGAAAGGAGAGAGATTTTCGGAATTAGAGGTCACGAGTGGCGAGAACAATAGTGGGATTACTGATGGTGGTGGTCGGGGTAGTACAATGGAGAGAATTGTTGAGAAATTGAAAAAGTTTGGATTTGTAGACGATGATCAAGAGAGGAGAGTTGAGAAAGGGTTAGAGGAGGACGAATTCGATGTCCAAGAAGAGAATGTGCGGAATAGGAGAGGTGGATTCTCTGAGGAATCGCCGTTTGGTGTCTTTAGAAGCGATGGAGAAGCTCAGTTTCCATGGGAGAAGGTGAGTTCTTCTAAGGAGAAGAAGGAGCTAGTGAATGGAGTGTGGACAGCGAAGAAGGAGAGTAGATACTCGCTCGCGGAGATGACTCTTCCGGAATCAGAGCTGCATCGGTTGAGGAATGTGATGTTTCGAACCAAGAGCAAGATGAGAGTTAAAGGTGCAGGTGTTACTCAGGCCGTGGTGGAGGCGATTCAGGAGAAGTGGAAGAGCTCAGAGATTGTGAGGCTCAAGATCGAAGGTGCAAGTGCGCTCAACATGAGAAGGATGCATGAGATTTTGGAGGTTTTTACTTCTATTCAGTTTTCAAAGGCTTGATGTTTGGAGTTTAGGAATGATAAACTTTTTATTCTAATGTCCTTTCTACTTCACTGTGACAGAGAAAAACTGGTGGTTTGGTGATTTGGAGGTCAGGTACTTCAATCTCCTTGTACAAATACAAAAATGACAGCAACCGAGATGCATCAATGAAGCTGAACAAGCAAATATATAGAAGAGCAGAGACTTCACCGTCTTATTTACCTACAAGTACAAGTACAGTGGATCATAGCGTTCAACAAGTGCATCTTCCTCAGCTAGAGAAGGAGACGGCCATTGTGGGAAATAAAGAGAGGATATCTCAACAAGATGTAGAATATGAAGATGAAATAAACGAACTGTTAGAGTGTCTTGGTCCTCGTTACACAGACTGGCAGGGAGGTTATCCGTTACCTGTTGATGCTGATTTGCTTCCGGGGATCGTTCCTGGTTACGAACCACCTTTCAGGGTACTTCCTTATGGAGTGAGATCAACTCTGGGAACAAAGGAGGCAACTTCGTTAAGAAGACTTGCCACAGTTCTTCCTCCACACTTTGCTTTAGGTATTGGACTTTGGATTTTCCTTTGTGGCTTTTTGTACCGCGTGATAAGATCTTTGAAGGGTGAGATTTTCTTCTGATCTACAGGTCGAAGTAGACAAATGCAAGGTTTGGCAGCAGCTATGGTTAAGTTATGGGAAAAGAGTTTAATTGCTAAGGTTGCACTTAAACGTGGTGTACAATTGACTACTAGTGAGAGAATGGCTGAGGATATCAAGGTAATAAGATTTCACAGCTGAGTCACATGCAAATATGTTGTAGCTGTTTTTATACTAATGTGGATATCATTTGAAAAATTAGAAGTTGTCTGTATTTTTAAAAGTGAATGTTCGATATCATGATCTTGGTAAGTGACTGCAGAGATTGACGGGAGGTATGCTGCTCTCAAGGAACAAAGACTTCTTGGTTTTCTACAGAGGAAAGAGTTTTTTGTCACCAGAAGTAGCTAAAGCATTGGTGGAGAAGGAGAGACTTGCAAGGACTTTTCAAGACGAAGAGGAACAGGCACGTCTAAGAGCATCATCAGCTCTGATTGTCCCAAGTATTGAAGTTAATCAAAACTCTGTTTCTACCGGTACTCTTGGAGAAACTCTTGATGCAAGTAGTAAATGGGGAAAGAATCTTGATGACGATGTTCATGTGGAGGAAGTGAAACAAGAGGCTGAGAAGCTGAGGTCTGCAAATCTTGTCAGGAAGTTGGAAAGAAAACTTGCTTTTGTGAGTTCCTTTCTTGAGCCTTTACTTCTTACCTGTCAAGTTATATTTCACATTTGGTGTTATAAAGATTGCTCATTGAGTTAAGCGGATTATTAAACCCTTCTAGGCTGAGAAAAGGCTGCTGAAAGCTGAACGGGCGTTGGCTAAGGTGGAGGAATCGCTGAAGCCAGCAGAGCAGAGAACAGACTTTGAGGGCATAACAGATGAAGAGAGATTTATGTTCCAGAAGCTCGGATTGAAGATGAAAGCTTTCTTACTTCTTGGTAAAATTGTTTAAACAATGCGTAGGCTAATGTAATCAACTGTGTTTGAGTTATGTGTTCTCTGGGATGTGGACTCATCTGAGAAAAAACTTGATTTGATTTCATCAGGTCGAAGAGGGGTGTTTGATGGTACTGTGGAGAACATGCACTTGCACTGGAAGTACCGAGAGCTGATCAAGATTCTTGTAAAGACTAAAACTTTCGAGGGTGCGAAGAAAGTGGCGATAGCCCTTGAGGCCGAGAGTGGAGGTATCTTGGTTTCTGTTGACAAGATCTCCAAAGGCTATGCCATTATCGTGTATAGAGGAAAAGACTATAAGCGTCCTTCCGAGTTGAGGCCTAAAAACCTCTTGACAAAGAGGAAAGCTTTGGCACGTTCTCTAGAGCTCCAAAGACGCCAGGTTCGTGATTCAATTATGCAGCAACGTTTGTTGGTCTAAAAATATGCAAACTTATTCTTGACTTCTACATTTTTTTCCAACACTTAGTTTGCTTTCTTATTTGGATACTTTGGATTCAACAGGCTATTATAAAACACATTGCGGCGGTACAGGCAAGAACAGAGCAGCTGAGAGCTGAAATCGTATGGTTCTTCTCTCTATCTTTTACTGATTCAAGAACGAATGCGTATTTTTTTCTGCAACGTTAACTAACCAAAGACTCTGAATTCATTCTGTCAGGAACAAGTGGAACTTGAAAAAGACAAGGGAGTTGAGGTTGCTTACAACAAGCATGACATGGATTATCCTTCCAACGACGAGGAGACCGAAGAAACAGATGTATGATGTGTTTTTTTGCACTATAATCACTTCGTTTTCTTGAATTTCTCACCATCATCATCTTTTGTGTTTAACTCACATTCCCTTGTGCTCTTCGGTTATTGTAGGGAGAAGGAGATGACCTCTATTTATATACATACGAAGATGAGGAAGAAGATGGTAAGATTCAGGCCAAGGGTTTAATATCTGATGTTGAATTTGATTCAGATGATGACGACTGGGATTCAGATGAATCAGACACTGAGTTTGGTGATGATTCTGCATCCTCCACAACACCAGAAGCAACCTTTGTAGATCTGCAGAACGTGTAGTAACTTCATCTGCAACCATAAGAAGAACGGCTTGTGCGCATTGCAAAGAAATAAGATTTCACATCTCGCTAACTGTTCGCAGTGAGAGATACTAAGTGTGTCACCTGCAAAGAAAGATTTTAAGCTTGAGCTATGTAGATTCATATAATTGCTATAGTATATCTGCAAGTAGTTACTATTCAACAAAGTTGTTGTTACTGATTAACTACAAAATTTTTGACATTTTATCTTACAGAAATAAAACTTTTTACTCTGATGTTGAATTTAAAATTTATTTTTACTGCAATTTACTCATACTTTATTGTTTGCCAATATTCCATTTTTTCCCTTATGAGATATTGACAAACAATAAAGTATGAGTAAATTCCACTACAATGTCACTATTGTTTCAAGAATCTTTAATGAAGTATTGGAAAATTGTTGGGGTCGGTTTTCACCCATAAGACCATCTTAAAATGATTAAGTATGGAAGGAAGACAAATTAGCCGAACTGTGCTCATCAAGACAAGTGGGAGAACCGTGCTCACCAGAACAAGTGAGAGAGCCGTGGTCACCAAGACAAGTGGGAGAGTCGTGGTCACCAAGTGGGAGAGCCGTGAAGATAGACCAATGGGGAGAGCTGTGAAGAAAGATAGATGGGCCGAGCCGTATCATGAGAAATGGGCCGAGCCGCACTTCAACATGCTTGGGCCGAGCCGTGCCTCGGTGAGGTGGACCAAATCACGTCTCGACTCAAATGGCAAGCAGGCCGAGCCGTGGAGAAGTTCAGATGGGCCGAACCAAGGCCTTGAGAGACGAAGCCCATAGAAACCCTAGGCGAAATACAAAGGCGGTGAGCCGCACGAGGCGATAAGGAAATATTCCGAAAATCTCTCCCGAGATTCTCGGCTAGGCGGTTCAAAGAATTAGTATAAATAGACGATGTATACAATTCATTCTGTAACTTTGACAACTCGAGAGCAATAAAACCTAAACACTTCACAGCAATAAAAACTTTCTTCGATCTTACTGTTGTTGGCGATAAACCCTAGAAGTTTCCGATCCCTCAAAGTTTTCCTTAACAAATTTCTGGTTGTGCGAGTTTTGGCTCACACAATTTGGCGCCGTCTGAGGGGACTCGAAACTTTCTTACTCTAAATCGACAAGACTTTAAGATCTGAAGAACATGGCGAGCAACACCCTCGGCGATAACAACAACAACAACGATAACAGCGCGGAGAAGGACGCTCCAGCATCAGGCACAACGACGGCAACTACCGAAACCCAAGAGGAGATGCGAAACATGATGGCTGCGTTGATGAAGAAAATCGACGAACAGGACAAAAGAAACGAGGCGATTACGGAGAGGCTCAGACGCGATGGCGGCTGAGCGACTACACCCAACTTGGAGAGCCGGAATTCCCGACCCGATGGATGGAATCCAGAGACGCTTCGATTTCTCAACACCTGCAGAAGCCTCAGGGAGCGGCGTAAGATACCCCTCGGCTCCTCCGATGTTTCTTCCCCTCGACGAACAGACTCCCGCGGCGACCCGAGTCAACATGACCGAGCCGCCCCCTCTCCGCCGGAACTCAAGGCGACGAGCCGGCGAAGAAGAGAACGATGCGATCGACGTGGACGCCCAGCAGAACGACAGAACCATGAATCCGCAACAGACCGGCTCGGTTCGGCGAATAAGTCAAGAAGAGCTCGCCTCGGCACTAAACGGCGTTCGAACTGACGAAGTCTCCGATCCGACTCACGGCGACAACCCAACCGAGGAGGAAGAAAACCTCTAGTGGATCGAGCAGGCAGAGCGCAAAGACGAGCCGAGGAGAGAGGAGCGAGAGCGACCCCCCAATCAAAGGGAATGACTCACGCACAAACTCTCGAACTCAAAGAGCTGCGAGCCTCAATGGCTCGGGCAGTAGCTGAAATACGCGTCATGAAGTCCCAAGTGCACAACGCAACAAGCGCCGCGCCCGAAATCGCCGGATGCTTGAAGAAACTCAGAGAACTTCATTCACGGCAAGAATCACGGAGGTAAGGATTTCCGAGCCCAGGAAGGTGAGAATCCCGTTCTACGAAGGAACAACCGACCCGAAAGCACACATCACAGCGTTTCGGATAGCAATGGGACGGGCCTTCACAAATAACGCCGCTAAACTGACCGAACGGGAAGTAGATGCCGGATACTGCCTATTCTTCGTGGAGCATCTTAAGGGCGCCGCGCTCGAGTGGTTTTCAAGACAGGAACGCAATTCAATCGGCAGTTTTCAACAGCTCTCCGCCTTATTCCTTAAACAATACTCGATGTTTATGGACAGAGGAACATCTGATGCCGACCTGTGGACACTATCCCAAGGACCGAACGAATCGCTTCGGGATTACATGGCAAGATTCAAGACAGTCGTATCCAAAATAGAAGGGATAAGCGACAAGGCTGCGCTCGAGGCTCTGAAACGATCTTTGTGGTACAAATCCGAGTTCCGACGGGAGATGGCTCTCAACACGCCGCAAACAATTCAAGACGCTTTGCACCGGTCATCAGACTTCGTCGTAAACGAGGAGGAAATGAAAAACTTGGACGAGCAGTACGAAGCAACAAAAGCAGCGCCCCGCGAAGAAGGGCAACCCATCGAACAACACAACAACGCAGAGCTCGGATGAACCTAGAGGCGGAGGTGCCCATAACTATCAGGTAGGCACCGGACGCGGAAGAGGAGAGCCGCGCAACAACACTTGGGTGAGAAAGTCTGCCAACTACGACGAGAAGGCTTTCTGTGAGTATCACCAGACCTACGGGCACTCAACGGCACAATGCCGAACTCTAGGAGCAAAACTCGCGGCTAAGATGGCAGCGGGAGAGCTCCAAAATGCGGCAACCTCAAAGACCTCATCCTTAATGAATCACAAGAAAGAGCCAAGCCGAGCAGCGCGGCGGAACCCGCGAATCCTCCCCGACGAGGCGATAACTCCAAGCGCGACAGGAGAGGCGAACCCGAAGAGCGACCCGAGCCGAGGCAAAGGATCAATATGATCATGGGTGAATCTCAATACTACCAAGATACCGTGTCCTCCATCAAAGCCTATCAGCGCCGAGCCGAAGCAAAGGAGAATTGGATAGAACCAACCGACATCCCAAACACAGTGATCTCCTTCGCCGAGGAGGAAACGGCAGGAATCGATCGACCTCACAATGATCCGTTGGTGATTGAGTTAACGATCAGGGATCATGACGTAGCAAGGGTGCTCATCGATACTGGAAGCTCAGTGAACGTCATCTTCAGGGAAACACTTAGAAGAATGGGAATCGACCTCTCTGAGGTGGAAGCAATCCCCAAACCTTTAACCGGATTTTCAGGAGAAACAACGATGACTATGGGAACGATCAGGCTTCCTATGGTAGCTGGCGGAGTCACTAAGATCGTCGAATTCTGCGTCACTGATCACCCAGCAATCTATAATGTGATCATGGAAACTCCATGGATCAACGGGACAAGGGCGGTACCCTCCACCTATCATCTCTGCCTCAAATTCCCAACTCCGGCGGGTGTCAAAACGATCTGGGGGAATAAGAAGGAGTCACGAATGTGCTGCCTGGCCGAGCACAAGCTGAGGAACCCCGTCACCAACGCACGAGCAGACATAGACCGCAAAAAGATGAAGACAGACCGAGAGCCCGCGAACGAGCTCTCGAAACTCTTATAACAATTACAGTTCGCGGAGAGCCGCGAAACACGCGCCGAGCCGGTATGTGATGCAGTGGACTCAGTGTGCATAGACGAGGCGCGTCCAGAGCGATGCGTCGAAATTGGAACAAAACTAGAAGAACCTCTGAGAAGCGAACTCCTTTCCCTCCTCAAGGAGAACAACAACACTTTTGCCTGGACAGCGGAAGATATGCCAGGCATAAGCATCGACGTAACCTGTCACGAGTTGAATGTGGATCCGACCTTTAAGCCAGTCAAGCAGAAAAGAAGGAAACTTGGCCCCGAACAAGCTAAAGCAGTTAACGACGAAGTCGAGAGGTTACTCAAAGTAGGATCAATCGCCGAGGCCAAATATCCGGACTGGCTCGCAAATCCGGTGGTCGTGAAGAAGAAGAACGGCAAGTGACGGGTCTGTGTGGATTTCACTGACCTCAACAAGGCGTGCCCGAAAGATAGCTTTTCCTTGCCATACATTGACCGGCTCGTCAAAGCCACTGCAGGAAATAAACTGTTAACATTCATGGACACGTTCTCTGACTACAATCAAATTCTGATGCACCCCAATGATCGGGAAAAAACGGCGTTCATAACTGACCGCAGGATATACTGCTACAAAGTCATGCCGTTCGGGCTCAAGAACGCAGGAGCAACGTATCAGCGGCTTGTCAATAAAATGTTCGCGGCTCAGCTCGGAAAAACCATGGAAGTATACATCGACGACATGTTAGTCAAATCACTCAAGGAAGAAGACCACGCCGCGCATCTACGGGAATGCTTCGAGCAATTGAACAAACACAACATAAAACTAAACCCGGCGAAGTGCAGATTTGCGGTCACCTCGGGAGAATTCTTTGGCTATCTGGTAACTCACCGAGGTATAGAAGTAAACCCCAAGCAGATCAAGGCGTTAATTGAGATGCCCTCTCCAAGGACGAAGCGCGAAGTGCAAAGGCTCACAGGAAGAGTCGCCGCGCTAAACAGGTTTATTTCCCATTCCACAGACAAATACCTGCCATTCTACGACAACCTCCGAGGAAACAAGAAATTTGAGTGGGACGAGCGATGCAAAGCGGCTTTCCAGGAATTGAAGAATTATCTGGCGAGCCTACCAATCTTAGCAAAACCAGTCGAAGGAGAGCCGCTCTTCCTCTACATCGCAGTGTCTGCTACAGTTGTAAGCGAGGTGCTTATCAGAGAAGAACGATCCGAGCAAAAACCCATTTTTTACACCATCCAGACACTGACCGACACCGAGACCCGCTACCCCTAGATCGAGAAGGTCGCCCTAGCCGTCGTAATCTTGGCTCGCAAACTGCGCCCGTATTTTCAGTCACATTCGATTGTTGTGCTCGTTACACTTTCGCTGCGCTCGATCCTAATCAGCCCTAGCCAATCCGGTCGGCTCGCCAAGTGGGCCATAGAGCTAAGCGAATACGACATCGAGTATCAGAACAGGTCGTCTGCAAAGTCACAGGTGCTCGCAGATTTTCTCATTGAACTTCCAGCCGAATCAACAAACGAGCCGACTCTATACGGCTCGTCGTCTAAACACGGCTCGGGAATAGAAATCCGTCTCACCTCTCCCACCGGAGAAATATTGGAGCAGTCTTTTCGCCTGAACTTCCACGCCTCGAAAAACAAAGCAGATTACGAAGCATTGATCGCCGGCATACGATTAGCGCAGGGAATCGGGGTTCGAAAGATAAGGACTTTTTGTGATTCACAGCTCGTAGCATGCCAGTTCAACGGAGAATATGAGGCGAAGGACGGACGAATGGGAGCCTACCTCAAGGTGGACCGAGAGCTGGTGCAAAATTTCGACGAGTTCGAACTCACGCGAATCCCCCGAGGAGAAAACACCTCGGCCGACGCCTTGGACCCAGACCTCCGACGGACGATCCCAGTCGAATTCATCGAACGTCCTAGCATCGAAGAGGTGGAAGGAGTTCGGCTGATAAATCCTCCTGAACAAAAACCAGAGGACGACGAAGCCATTCCTATGGATGAAGACGCCTCACCAGCCGAGCCGGAGTACGGCTGCGACAAAGAATGGCTCGGAGCTATCCGAGTGTATATCGCCGATGGAGAGGTGCCAACCGACAAATGGGAAACCCGCAAACTAAAAGCTCAGGCCGCGCGGTATGTCCTCGTCGATGGCGAGGTGTTTAAATAGAGATTTTCAGGGCCTCTCATGACATGCGTCGAAGGACCGGAGGCAAGAAAGATCATGCACGAGGTGCACAGCGGCGCGTGCGGAAGGTCGCTCGCTATCAAGATAAAACGGCATGGCTACTTCTGGCCTACGATGGTCAAGGACTGCAAAAAGTGCGAGAAGTGTCAGCGGCACGCTCCAACAATTCATCAACCTCTCGTCAATTTCGTCACCTTATCCGTTCATGAGATGGTCGATGGACATCGTTGGACCTCTACATCGCTCGAAGCAGAAGCGTTTCTGCTCGTCCTCACTGATTACTTCTCTAAGTGGGTCGAAGCCGATTCCTACGCAAGCATAAAGGATGTTCAAGTCGAACACTTCGTCTGGAAAAATATCATCTGCAGACACGGGGTCCCCTACGAGATAGTGACCGACAACGGATCCCAGTTCATCTCAACACGCTTTGAAGCCTTCTGCGAGAAGTGGAAAATCCGTCTAAGCAAATCCAGGCCAAGATACCCTCAAGGGAACGGGCAAGCCGAAGCAGCCAACAAGACGATCCTCGACGGTCTGAAAAAGAGGCTCGACGCCAAGAAAGGACGGTGGGCAGACGAACCCGAAGGAGTCCTTTGGTCTCATCGGACAACTCCGCGTCGAGCCACCGGGGAAACTCCATTCGCCTTGGTCTACGGAACAGAGTGCGTAATTCCCCCCGAGGTGGATTTTCCAGGTATTCGACGAAGACTTCTACCAGGACAGGAGGGCTTGAACCACTTAATGATGCTAGATGAGCTCGACCTAATCAACGAAAAGCGCGACCAAGCCTTAATCCGAATCCAGAACTATCAACAAGCAACGGCGAGATACTAAAACAAAAACGTTCGTAGTCAAAGATTCAAAGAAGGGGAGCTCGTCCTCCGAAAGGTCTTCCAAAACACTGCCGAGAAGAACGCAGGAAAGCTCGGAGCAAATTGGGAAAGTCCTTACAAGGTTACAAAAGTGGTTCGTCCAGGAGTCTACGAACTCGCAACACTAGCTGACGAAGCAATTCTAAGATCATGGAACGCAATACATCTAAAGAAGTATTATCACTAAAGCTACAGCACGGCCAGCATGAACTACGGGACGACTTGATCCCTGCAAAGGGTACGTAGGCAGCCCGTCCTCGGACGGGTTTAGCTGTCCCCCCTCCTAAAAAGGGGGGGGGGGAGTGGGTACGTATACACATACCTCCTTTAACTCTACAATTTTAGCTTGCTCACTTAGGAACATCGCCACTTCGGCCCATTTTCAGTTCGTTTTGAATCATCTATTTATTTCACGTTACCTTGGATTTCTAGTTCGTTCATTATCGTTTCGGCTAGTTTCTCATTCTTTCTAAATCAGCAACTTGTTTTAACAAGCTTGGATTTTTAAATTTTTCACTCACCTCGGCAAGTAATCATACCACTTCGACATGGTATCATGACCTGATTGCCTCGGACCTTTGGTGGTCCTCAGTTTCAGTTCGGCAACTAAGCCTCTGAATGCCTCGTCCCGTTGTTGGCCACAACGGGGCAACAAATACAAAGTTCTCTAAACGAACTTTTACCACCTTTCCTAGGACGAGGGTGCATGTTACATCCTCTATGGATAAAAGTTAAAGCGCGCTATACAAATATCAGACCAAAAACGTATCGGTCGCCACAGTTCACTATCGCACACGAGATTATAAGTCGAGATTACATCGCTTTCTCTAAAACCGAAGTGAACTCTTAGAACCCGGACAAACATACTCATCCTCTCGGAAACGCCGGTCCATAGTCAAATTCAATGAGACTACCAAATCATCCTTGGCTATCAAAAACAAAACGCCTCGTTGTTTTCACGGCTCGGCACCATGCAAAGCGAAAACGCCTTGTCGTTTACATGGCTCGGCACCACGCAAAGAAAAAACGCCTCGTCGTTTACACGACTCGGCACCATGCACAGCGAAAACGCCTCGTCGTTAAATACGGCTCGGCATTGCCAGCAAAAATTTGCCTCGACATTATCATCTAAAAACTTTCCAGCATCACCTAAAAAACGCTCCACAGAACTAACTCCCAGCTCGGAGTTAAGAATCCAAACGAGATCTTTAAAACAACTCACCCCTTAGCCCGTATTTCTATCAATTTCAAAAATTTTGGCTAAGGAAGCAATCAAAATCATTCTCGACACAACAGTTTTCATCCCTCACAATTTCTTCTAAGCCAACAGTTTTCGTAAAAATTCTCACGGATCGTTAGAGACAACTGAATCAGAAAACGGCTAAGGAAAAAATAACATAACCAAATGCAAAAGAAATAACAATTGTCAGATGGATAAAGCCATCCAGGCACCGGTTACATACAAGTTCAAAAAGCAGATAAAAATACTAAGTACAGAAGCATGTGAGACGAAAATAGGAGAAAACGGAGAAGATCAGGCCGCGGACTGCGTTTCGGGCTCGGCAAGAAGGTTTGAGAGGGCCGGCGTCCCCGCGTTTGATCTGTTCGGATCCGCGACGCCCAGGTTGGCCGCCGTCTCCTCAAGCGGCTCGTTGCCAAGGCTGGTGTCCACCGAGTCCGGCGAGACGGGCGAAAAAACCAGCTCACCACGAATCTCGGAGGCGATGCGCTCGTATGCCTCGTCATCGGCGTACTCGTTCTCCCAGCTCTTCAGCTTTGCCTCCTCGTCGTCGAGCGTCGGAGCGTCCGTTTTCCTCAGATCAGCGATCATCGCAAGGTTACCCTTGATTTGCCCCAGCTTGTTTTCGTCAGTTTTGGCCTTCTCGAGCTTGCCAGACTCTCCACTACATTGGCGAGGCGCTTCTGAAACTTAACGGTCAGCTCTCGCCTTGCCTCCTTCTTCGCGGGTTTGACCTTGGCTTCGAACAGAGCATCGTTGGCCTCAATACGCCTTTTGAGCAACACCACCTCAGCGCTTTTGGCTCTCCTTGCCTCCTCCAGGCGAATCACCGAGGCGGAAACCTTGTCAACGTCGGCGCGGAGAACTATCTTCTCCTTTTCTAGCCTGGACACTCTGGACATCGCCTCGTCCAGCTTCCCCTTCGTCGCCGCGGTCTCATTTCGAGCCTCGTCCAAGCGGCGTTCGACCTTTGACAGGTCCGCCTCGTATTCAGCCATCAGCTCGTTGATGGCCGCTACAAACTGCAAGGAGCAACACGCGTTAATCACTTAGTGATAATTCGTGGAAACAAGAGAAATTAAATGGAGTATACCTTGGTACCG